CCATACCTATAGAAAAAAGGTTTGTCTCGTCTTACACTCGATGAGAGAGAGAGAGAGAGAGAGAGAGAGAGAGAGTCACACATTATAATCATATCGTTATCTCATTTTTGTGATCAGAATCGCCGCCAGAATTCACAACTATTTTTCAAACCGAAAAAGACTTGAAACACACAAAACATTTTGTTTGCCAACTCTCTCTCTCTCTCACACACACACACACACACACCACACAAACACTTGCTTTTGGGTATTTTTTATAGCTAAAAATAAGTCAAACATTACTTATTCACATAAAATATATATTTTAATAATTGACAGAATATGTGCACATAGGTTGCACAGGGAGTTAGAGGGGTAGGGAATGAATGGCTAATTGCCTAATATAATACATACCTGTGCTCACAGGTAGTCAGACCTACCTAATCATCAGAAATAGCAACTGGTTATTAGTGTCTATTTTATCACTAATTTTCATATATGATGGACACAAACAAAATCCCGTTTTGTTTTATAATTTCTGATCAATCGTATAGTTATTACGAAAATTATTTATTATATAATACTTTTGGAGTCACTTTTGACATAAAAATTACTATATTTTGTAATGCATTGCAAGCAATTTAAGACTAACTTATAATTTCCATATTAAATGCCTTTTAAAGAGTTATTTTCGGATTCAAACATTAATTATTACATAAATATTTGTCAATACATTGTATTTGTTTTTGTATTGTGAGAAATAAATACACAGAATATTATTGTGATTAATATATATATTTGTAAATAATTTATTTATTATGTTATGTTTAATATAAATCTCAATTATATTATAGTTTATTTGATATATACTATTGATATGAATGGAAACAAAATTGTTAGCAATTATTAGTTTAAAATCTAATTTATTAATAAAAATTATTACATTTGTTTGAAAATACATTTATAAGTTATAAATTATAACTATTATTTAACTAATCAAACATATAATCAAATAGTTTATAAAGCTCTAAAAAATAGTTTGACTAAAAAATAAATCAATTTATTGTATTGTATTAGCCTTTGTATAGATAATAAAATTTTCGCTAAAATATTATTTCAAATCTAATTTTTATAAATTGATTTATTGTTTAAATATCACGAATTTTTTCGTAAATTATTGATTACTTTAATAACAAGTTTTGTCAGCAATTTATTTATTGACAGAATTATAAGTCTTTATATATTTTTAATGCACTTATTTGTCATTACAGTTTAAAAATATATTACTATAAAAAGCATAAAAATAATCATAACTCATATAATATATGTTTTTGAAATAAAATTTCTCTAACAAATTGAGATTAATATTCATATTCATATCATATTTACTAATTCATTGGTTATTACAAGATTGCAGTAATTTATATTTTTTTTATAAAATTTTAATATATAATAACAAATATATTTCTATAATTATATAAATCAATGACAAAAAAGCAAAATGAAAAATAGTTTTTCATATTTATATCATATAAATTATATGAATAGTTTGTATTTCTTTATCACATTTATTACTAAATTACTATAAATTACACCAAAGTTTCAGTGATTTTGTGGTTTTCAAAATATTCAATGATTTTTATAAATTTATTAAATTGTTTTTAATGATTTATATAAATCCTGGACTAGATAATGACAAAGGTGCTGAACCAGATAGTGGCATAGATCCAGATACAATTAGTGAAAAGATTCAGGATTAGGTTTCCCAATAAAATACATTGTGTTATAAATTGTTAATACAATATATTTTGTGATTTAAGTAATAATAAGTGTTTTGTGTTTTAGATTTAATTATCTCTTTAAAAAGCTTATTATGAAAACCGGGAGCAGAGAGAGAGAGAGAGAGAGAGACTGTCTTTTGAAGATTACTGAACTCATGATTTAATAATGTTTTCATAACTTTATAATAAGTAATCGAAAAGATTTTATTATTAATTGAATTTCAGACGAAACACACTTTTCTGATCAACACTTATCTTAAAGGTTTTTGCAGTATTTTAGTGAACAAAAAACTTTTTGCAACTTTTGTGATGATTTGGGTTTGGTTTCAAAGTTTTATATTTGAATTTCGATATTATTTCACTTGATATTGAAAAATAAATTTTATTTTAAAAACTTCTTTAATATTTATTAGTATTTTTCATGAAAATCATTTATAACTTTATTTTTCATTTTCTTAAATTGAATGCTATTTTCCTATTAAATACCTCAGTTATTCTACCATGATATCAATTTTTACTGACTATATTATATTAAATTAAATAGCAATCAAATGTTCATTTATTTCAATACACTGTAAATCAAATACTAATGAATGAATAAAATGTTTATTCAAAACTAGAATATTATGCGAAAATAAGTAAACATTTATTTAATCACATTTTAAACATATTTATGGCGAAAAATATTTACAATTAATATGATAACTGAATTGTTTTTAGAAATATAAACAAAATTATTTTTTAGATCATTAATTGTGATATAAATGCATAAAAATATCAAAAAATCAAATTTTCCGAAAATATACATTATAGTAACAAATGTACAAAATGTTACACAAAAATAGTAATAAAATAGTGATTGAAACAAATTACACATTTTTATACACTTTAATGAAATGAAAAATTTATTACACTTAACAACATTATAATATAAAACTTAAATAAATTAAGTGTTAATTATAAACTAAAGTATGTATGAGTTATTTAAGGGCTGAGCTCCCGGGGCTAACAAATAGCATAATATGTCTTACAGTAGTGAATGATATTCACACTAATTATCATTAACTCAATCAATAAATTTTGAGCAAATTTTTCTAGTTTTACATTATATTCAGTGAGTAATTAGTAACTGAATAGTTGTTAACTATTTTATAGACGACTAATAAATAATGTTTTAAAATGTATTTATTTTATTAAATCATTCATTAGTCGAGTAGTAATTTGCGATAATTATTGCCAAAAGTGTGAGCACCGGGCACTTCACACAAACTACCTTTCCCTGTATTTGTCAGCTAATAATCTCAGGACTTGTTTGAGATTCAGTCGATAAGTATATTTTTAACACTAATTTAAATATCAATTTTGATAAAACATATAATAAATTATAAAATTAAATTCACATTTAAGAAATATTTTTCTAAATACTTATATAATTAACAAAAAATATTACTTTTATTTCAAAACATAGTGTTAAATAAAATTAAGTATCATTTATCCTAAACATTAAAATTAATGTATTGACAAAATACCAAATATTTTTGATACATATTTTTAATTGGTTTGTAATTACAAACTATAATAATTTGCAACAAATTAATAACAATTTATAATTATTTTATTATACATTTTTTTCGCTTATAATTAACAAATTTATGACTTTTATAATATACGGCAATAAAACATTATTACAGCAACAAAAAAGTTTTTATATAAAAAACTTTTAACCAAAAATTAGTTCTCGGATTTTATTTTTGGTATTAATTATACACTTTTGGCTAATAATCAGTGAATTCATTGCATAGAAATTGCATTATATGAGCGAGTTTTCAGCCAAAATGAGTTATTATGATTTATTAAACACATTTTCATCGCAAATAACAATAAAAACAACTTTTAATCTCTTATACTATTATATATAAAAATGCTATATTTTTCATATTATATACTAATACTGTATATAATCGCTAATTATATTCCCTTTTATCGTAAATTGTTTAATCAATTCCCACTTTATATACACTTTTGTCTATTAATAGTCTCTAAAAAACTGGCGCATAATCTATGGGTTTAATTAAAATGCTGTTAGAAATGAGTTTCCGATTACTCGATGACAGAAATACATGTTTAAAATTAGACTTAAAATAGCATATTATGTGAGAAAATAGAGGTATTTGTGCCCAAAAGGCCTCCACTAATAAGTATTTGCATTGTATTTGTCCACACATTTCATACAATCGCCTAAAAGTAAGAAAAAAATCTTACGTCTAATGTGTATAAGAGATGCGAAATAAAAGTCACGACTTTTACATTAGGATCGCCGGGTAATGGGAGGTAATGAGACGGAGGGGACAGGTATTTGAATCTGTAGGGAGTGGCCGATCAGGGGGTACGACTCAAATCAATACATCAAACAAAATAGCAATTTATTATCCCGTTTATGTGTTAACACCATAAATATACCCCCAATTATTACCCCGTATATAACAAAATGCACAGTAGTTTTACACACTATTTGATAGTATTTGAAACAAAATTATTATTATTTATACTCTTTTTTATTTGGTATAAAGTTTATGTTGAGATCATATTCACAGATAATAACATAAAATAAAGTAATTATTATTTATATTCACAAAACATTTCATGAGATTTTTTCTCGAGTTTTTGAACTAAAAGTCCGAAACGATATATAATAATAAACTCGTCGTTAATAATCAGTTTTACATCAAAATTGAGATATAATTTGTATTTTCAATACATAATAGAGCGACAAATGATTGAATTATTTATAACTATATATTTAAATGCTTTTCCAAACAAAACTCAATCAATATAATAGCTTGCTCACAAAATATAATAGTTTTCAAATTAAACTCATAATAATAATATTTTTTGTTTTACGGCTTAATTATATATAAAAAAATTCTTATCAAAAAATATAAAAAACAAAAAAAACTTTAATTTATGACATAATATGAATGAATAACATATTCTCAGGCAATACAAGGTATTTGTGTCCAAAATATTTGCGATCAAAATCTTTAAAAAAAACACGTATTAAACGTATGATTGATATGAAAAACAGAGGGAAAGACAGTCAGAAAAATAGGAAAACAAATAAAATTATAAATAAATTATTATATAATAGATATTCAAATATTGTGAACACTTTCGTGTGTTTGTGTGACAACTCTATCGAGTCTCTGGCCGTAAAACCAGTGATTATTTTCGCACAAAATGCTATAAAAATCGCAATAAAATATTGGAGGAAAAGGATCCGAGGGTAAGGCCGGCGCCCAAACAGCACACCAATAAAAAGCCGGCCCTTTCGCGGTACTGGTAGCCCACGAGTGTCGGCCCGTTGATCATCACATTAATCAACACAAAGCCGTTACTGAAACCCAATAGCGTTATAAACAACACGTAATACACTTCGCTCGCAAACACGACGGGTAAGTGGGCTCTCGGGAGGGCGTTACACAACATAATGAGGGGTATGAGCGCCACCCGGGCGATGGCCACCACCAGTACGGTGTGCCTACTGTGGGCCGGTATGGGACAGAATCGGCCCGCGAACCGACCCATCAGATCGCTTAAGTTGTATAACAGAAAACACGTGACGGGTATGAAGTATTTGCCCGTCCAGTAGGAGGTGTCGGGCCTCTGGGGGGCCACCAGTACTGTGATGGCGGGGAACACAGAGAGTGTCACCCAAAACACTAGAGTAGATGACAGCAAATGCGGCCAAATCTGGAGTTAAAACACATAAAAAGGTTTTTCATTAATAACACAATCAACTGAATAGTGTTTTTAGTATTAATTATTGTATAGTTTTATAGTTTTCTATAGTTTTAGTGCATTTTCTCACCTCATATACAATGGATTGCAAAAAGTTGTGTTCACTACTCAACGCAAATGATTGCATTTGGCGTCGACTTTGTTTCACACGCTGTTTGTGGTGTCGATAGAAATCCTATGAGTATTCAAAATGCAATCAATAATTGAATAGAAATTATATGTAGTTTTAAAATAGCAAATGATAGGCACCCCCGGGGAATGGCATACATAATGCAATACTTACGGTCTGTTTGGTGTATAAATACATAATAAGACTCAACACGAGAGTGATGTCCGCCATCAGGAAGTAGTAGAAAGCGGTGTTCACGACCTCCCAGTGACCCATCAGTGCCAACACCTGCGCCATAGCGGCGAACAGTCCGGACACCGCCTGTCCGCTGACCATAGCGTGCATACACTGCGATGGGAACAGGGATGCGATGCCCGACGCACTCGACTGCAGAGTACCCGCCGATGTCGACAACAATACTATCGACGCAATGGTTAGACTGAAGAATGTCTGCTGATCTGTAGGAGGGGTTGTGGTAAGAGGTCATGAATATGTGATTATCATTGGGTCTAAGACTCACATAAATCTGTATTTATTTTGACAAATATTGTCGTCATTATGAATATAACAATAATCATCACGAAAGACGTCAAGTTCTTCACGTTATCACCGATTCTGGACACGAGTTAAGGAACTGTTAGTTATCATAAGGTATGGGTTGACACTCGGATGACATACTTGTGGCCATAGACAGCATTGAACGCCAATACCACCAGAAACGGCACATTCGTGGCGATCGACACATAGCTCTCGAAGTACTTCTGGAGGGCAGTCACCGGCGAACTGTTCCCGGAGTCCATGTCGTCCTCATTCGTGGCATTGATATCTCGAAACTTATAGTTCCAGTACTGAAGACATATGAAAAACACAACACATATGTAAACCTCCGGAAGACAATGAGTGGTAACTAATGAGACAATTGTATACATCATTGGCGGTGATGAGGAAATTCCAGGGAAGCAGTTGTGATAAACCAATCAACGCGAAGGTTATCTTCACCAGTGATAGCCTAAGACATACATCGATGGCAATGGCATTAGTGATGATAACACACGTGATCCGGAAATCAATGGTTAAGTGAGTGCTTAAGACATTACTTGTCGATGGGCTCCATGCCTGACGACTCGCTACCGTCGCTGTGGTCCACCTCTTCGGTGATATCACGGATCAGTTCCGTGTACTCGTCGGCGGTGTCCGACTCGTGAGCGCTTGTAGTGATGATAACCATTGTCTCCGCACTGCAGAGGTTGTTGTCGTCGCGCCAATGGATCCGTTTTGGCGGTTGTGAAGCCCACACACACTCACAGACACTATCACTGATACACACCCACTGACTGAAGTCTTGGGATCAAAGAGTGTGACAAAGTCTGCGATCAAATGGGCGATCAAAGTGTGGATCAAAGTCGGGATCAAAGTGTGCGACAAAAAAGGGTTTTCATTGTAATGAATGGACTGAAAGTGAAACACTGTTTACACAACCAATGGTTTAATCATATGTTTTGTGTTTATATATCTATTAAATCGCGATTACCTTTACATTGAATGCCATACAGACTACACACACTATTCATAACGTGTACAGATATTAAAGTTAGTTCAATTTCTTGATAGTTTATTATAGGCTCCATTGTGAGTGGTCAATAATGTACATATTTATTGTATTGAATTTTAAAAAGTTTTAGCTTGGTCATTTCATGAATTGTAGCAAGGATGCACGACTACAGTCTACCAATGAGTTCACATAACCATAAGCGCAGTGTACTCGACCTCAGTATTGTAAACACCGTTTATCATACATAACGTAAACACGGGATTCACTTTCAATATAATCTCATTTCCCATACAATGAACTTCTTATATATACACTAACCGTAACCCTTAACCTATATTTACTTCCCATACCATAATAAACACAAAAACAAACAACTCTTTCAACACTTAAAACCTTGTATTTTAACTAAATTCACACTTTTATCGCAATTTATTTGACCCCCAAATAGGGTCAACACATTCGCGGACGTCATCTATGAATGAGTTTAACAAACATTGCATTGCATTGAAAAACATGTGTTTCTCATGAATTGGTGACCAATTATTGGTGATAATTAAGACACCACTCGACGCACCCGATGGACGATAGTGTCGACCACGCGTCCAACGGTTCCACTCGCGACGACACCATCGACTTCGTGGGTAAGACAATACTGGCGCCGATGGTCAGGACCTCAACGCTACCGATGAGGTTACTATCGCTAAGACTCGGCGCCGACATTGTCTACACCGAAGAGATCATCGACTATAAGCTGATCCGATGTCAACGAGTAGTCAACCACCTGTTAGGGACCGTCGACTACATTGACGACAACGCGGTGGTAGTCTTCAGGACCTGCCCTCAGGAGTCCTCACGACTGGTCCTCCAATTGGGAACCAATGACTCGCAGCGAGCCTTACGCGCGGCTCAGATGGTGGTGCGGGACGTGGCGGCCATCGACGTGAACATGGGTTGTCCCAAAGCATTCTCAGTGAAGGGCGGCATGGGATCAGCTCTGTTGACACAACCGGACAAAGTGGTGGACATTCTCCAGACGCTGGTCCGGGGCGTCGCGAAACCAATCACTTGTAAGATCCGAGTGTTGCCATCGCTTGAGGACACCATACGTCTCGTGCGGCGCATAGAGAGCGCCGGCGTTCGGGCGCTGGCCGTTCACGGGAGGACCCAATCGGAGAGACCTAAAGACCCCAATCGTAACGACTATATCCGTGCGATCGCCGCGGCGGTCGACATACCGGTGATCGGAAACGGAGGTTCGGATGAGATCCAGACGTACGCCGACATCGAGCGGTTCCGACAGAGGACGGGCTGCTCGTCGGTAATGATCGCCCGATCGGCGCAAAAGAATTGCTCCATATTTGCGGACAGGGAGGGACTGTTAGCCATGGATGACGTGATCAGACAGTACCTCGAGTTGTGTGTGGATTACGACAATCACGTGATGAACACGAAGTACGTGATTCAGCAGATGTTGGGACCACTGCAGGAGACACCCAGAGGTAGGGAACTGTTGGCGGCGCAGACGCTGAGGACGATATGCCGGTTATGGGAACTGAACCACTATTGCGATCAAACGCGGATCAAACGCGAGTTGACGTCAAAGACATCGATTGAGAACCAGAATATTGTGTGCAATAAGAGGCTGAAGACATGTGTGGACAGCGGTGATGAGGCGGTTGTGGAAATGGATGTGATTTTTGTGCGCAATCTGTTCCCAACAGACCCTGATTTGCCGAAATCACGACTACTGGCGCTCGCGAAGGGAACGGGAGTAGAGGCGCCGGTATATGAGACTTCGGGCGTCAGAAAGAATCACTTCCGGACGGTGTGTCGGTTCGACGGGAAGTGCTATTCGAGTCGCTATCTCGAGAAGAATAAGCGATACGCGGAACAGTCGGCAGCTCTCGTGGCGTTGATATCACTGCAACTGATCCGCGACACCGATATCTTAGCCCAGAGTGTGGACGCTGTCAGTGACATGAATCGCATGACTGTTACCATTGATTCTCATATTTATTACATCAAGACTTCTTGAGATTATTTGTTTGCCATTCATTCCATAGACGATATGATAATTGAATTTAAATTTTGCGAAATATTTATAAAAAGTTTTTTCTATATTTAATAAATTATTTGTTTATATTTCCGTGACTTTTGCTTATCGTATGTCTATTTATAGGCATAAATCGTGTGTATAATCTCTAAACACTTTAATGATTTGATAAGAAATTGTGTTAATTCTGAACACAAACACTGGAAATACACATAAACTGAGCGCACAGTTAGTGCCACACATTATATTCAATACAAAAGTTGTGTTTAGTTTACAAATCGTTGAATTCAAGGCAAACTCACCGCTAATCGCATTCAAACGTAAGTTTTAATACACTTTGTGTTTTCGGTATAAAACACTTCAAAAAATACGCCAAACCTTCCAACACGTGGAAAGACATCTCAAGGCCTACATACCGGTGCCGAATAGGTAAGCTAATCATGATAACCTTGATCATACAACACCTGACATTCAAAACTTTTCTAACACATGATATGCATGTTATTTACAGTACTGTAAACTTATATGGGATTTGAATTTCCTATTTATGTTGCATTAGTTTTGTGGTAAATATTCTTCGAAATAATTGACACTAAAGACAATGTCTTCGGCGACACCTCTGCGCCAATTGGTCTCCGATTGCTATGAATTCAAAGCCATAAAGTTTGGCGACTTTGTGCTGAAGACTGGCATCCATTCGCCCATTTATCTCGACATTAGACCAATGGTTAACAGACCTAAACCACTGGTATGTGCCAACACTTGGGATCAAATAACAAGTGCCACAAAGATTATGCTTAAAAATGTCTTTTACTTCAGAAACTCTTAAGCGAATTGATGTACGAGAAGATCATCGCTTCCGGTATCGGCTATGATCTCATTTGCGGTGTTCCCTACTCTGCCCTATCGGTCGCATCGGTATGTCTTTGACTCAATTGATTGTTCATTGATTGTCGATCTCTTCGCGCAGAGTATTTGTGTCCAAAAAGAGGTAAATATGATAACGAAGAGGAAGGAAAACAAAGACTACGGAACCAAACAGTTGATCGAAGGCCAGCATAAGCCGGGCGACAGAGTGGTGATCGTCGAAGACATCATTTCCAGCGGTTCCAGTATTCTGGAGACAGTTCTCGTGAGATCTCACTGAAATCAACGACTTTTTCAATTGTCTTAAAGTCTATACAAAACTCATTTACATCTGTATATCGATAGGCGCTAAGAAGTGCCGGACTTGTGGTGACCGATGCGGTCGTATTCATCGACAGACAACAGAATGGCGTCAATAATATGCTTGAATACGGTATTACTGTCCACAGGTATGGATCAGATAATCATTATCTGCAGACAATTGCCGCCACAAACTGATGCCCGCATTCCTCCGCAGTCTAATCGACGTGAAGACAGCTCTCGAGTACTTAGTGGACGACCAGAAGATCAGTGAACAGCAACGCAGCGAAACCATCGCTTGGATTAACGCCAATCCGTTGCGGATTAATGATGAGATCGTCAACGAGTGGCGACTCTTATGTCTGGAGAATAGGACCACAAAACTGCTGTCATATGAGGAAAGGTCGCGATTATCAACGCATCCGTTGACTCAACAGTTACTCGACTTAATGGTCAAAAAGCGAAGCAATCTCTGCGTTGCAGTCGATCTCATCCGAAGTCAACAGATCCTAGAGTTGGCCAAAGAGGTCGGCCCAGCGATAGTCATACTTAAGCTGCACATCGATATCGTCGAGGACTTTGACCACCAATTCATTGAACAGTTGACAGCAATCGCCGAGGAAATGAAGTTCTTTATCTTCGAGGACCGGTTAAGACAATACCACTCCTTAAGACACGACTCCAATGATCACTAATTACCTCATAATTATCACCCGAACAGAAAGTTCGCAGACATCGGCCAAACCGTGGCCTTACAGTACGGGAAAGGCGTGCATCGGATCAGCAGTTGGTCTCATATAGTGAACGCACATCTGGTCTCTGGTCCGGGAGTTCTGGAGGGACTCCGGAGTGCTGTCCAACAGGTTTTACCACAACTTATTGCCATCCAATCAATGCAATCACAACTCATAGACATCTGTGGTATGAATGATATCTCATAGGACGGGGATAGCCATCAACACCGGGGCTGCCTATTGGTGGCCTCCATGAGCTCGAAGGACAACCTCATGAACGCCTCGTACCCGAAGTCGGCCTACAAGTGGTCCCAAAAGTACGCGGATTTTGTCATCGGTTTCATCAGCCAATCGCGAGTGTCGGCCGATCAGCGGTTCCTTCACATGACTCCCGGCGTTCACATCGATGTCAGCGGCGATGGTTTGGGCCAACAGTACGTCACTCCTGAAGAAGCCATTGGAAAGCGTGGCGCAGATGTAGTGATCGTCGGCAGAGGTATTACCGGCGCTGCGGACCCGAGAGGGACGGCACACCTCTATCGCCAGAAAGCTTATGAGGCATACGTCCAACGATTGTCACTATAAGTCCAATGGATCAGCTCTCAAGACATGATTTTTACTGAATTTTTTTATTAATACTAGAAATGAATACAAAAATCTGTTTTTAAAATTATTTGAGGCATACGTTCAGCGATTGTGTTTATCACTCAGTGGATCCGATCTTAAGACACAATAATCACTAGATTTTTATAATTAATACAAAAAAAACAAAAATAAATGTCTTTTCAAACGTTAAACAAATTGATTAACGAATCGCTTAAATAAAAAAGTTTACAAATAATGTGTAAGTGTTTTGGAGTTTAATTTACCATGTTAACTGAATACGTTTAAGTTTATTTTTATGAGCAATTAGTTGCAGTGGTAGTTGTGGTTTAAATTGAATGATTTATTGATTAAACAAAATTAATAAGTTTTACAGAATATCACTAAATCAGTGAATAATGGTTTGACACAAAAGTATTCAATAATAACACGAATAGCATATGAATTGAGTCTATATTTCATGTGAATTATGCACACATTTTGGTTATATTTAGTAAATGTTTCTAAAATAAGTATAAAATATTATATGAAATATGATATTGAATTCAAATGAAAATAAATGTTAAGAATAGTTTGAAATACAATTTTAGGAATTAAAACAATATTAGTATAATGAGTAAAATATAATATAATGAGACAATTTTAGGGAGACTCTCTCTCTCTCTCTCTCTCTCTCCTACGGTACAAAAGCATGCATTGAAACCTAAACCCATTGACTGGCCCTCAGTTAACGCTAAACATATTTTATACATATTTCTTATCAGCGAAAAAACGTATAATTTTGGGACAATTAGCGATCAGATTATGAATAGCCTGTTCAGTGAACTGTACTTTACATCCATCGAAACAAATATATTGTATTTTCTTGAGTTTTGACAATGAGTTCAATACACTGTCCGTTATATCTGTTGCCCTGATCTTTATGTATTGAATGCGAGGCAAGTGTTGGTCGATATCGCGGGTAAAGTCTTCAACATTTATGACACTTTTGCGCAATAGATTGAGAGTGAAATGTGTCAGTCGTTTGCATCCACTCAACGATTCACTGGTAAACGCAAACTGTTCCGCACGTATACCACTCACTTGGAGGCGTTTTAATTGCTTAAAGTTAGCATTAATTGTTTGCATCAATTGAGACATTAGTTCACAGGAATACATGCGACCATCGAGTGACAGACTCTTGAGTTGACCACAATTCACACCAATTTGTTTCAAACGACTATCATTTACAGCACTTTCCATATCTGACGCATAAATCTTCAAATCAATCAATTGTGACATTTGTGACAAACCAGTCATCAGTATATCAATGGACTTCTCATTACACTTCTCATCGATGTCCACATTAATTGATTTCATTGTCTTTCCATATCTGGTGACAAATATTTCAAATCTTTTCGTGTCTTCATTCGTGTATTTAAACCAAAATGAGTTTAATCTGCGAAACAACACATCAAATGTGGGAACAGTAGACATAGAGTTGTCATAAATCTTAAGTTTTGTGACATTTGTGCAAAGCGTGAGACAATTGTTGACACACTTCCAGACATCGGTGTCTATGTGCCAAGAATTGCCTTCAATTGATTGCAAACTTTTGGCAAACTTTGCGAAAAACTTAGCGATTGTGTCGACACTTAAGGCATAGAAAAGGATATAAATGTGATTCAAATGATTGCAATGTTTGGTAATTAACTCAAACATTGAGTTATCATTGAATGACACAGACAATTGTCCGATTCTTGAGATGTTTTGGCACTTCTTGAGTATCCGTTTAAAGGACTCGACTTTTAGTAGTTTGCGGTCATATGTGAAGACTGTTTGTGTCTTATATACCAATCGCTGCCACTGTTTGGACACACATTCACATCGGAACCGGTCTTCGAGAGTGAGATAAGACAAGACTTCTTCACACAAATCATCACAAAATCTGTCGAAAGAGTCTTCGCCGTAGACTTGCCTTAAAGTGGGTTCACTTCTTGTAGCCATTCCTCAGCGGTTATTATCAGTGAATAGTTTGCAATGAAATGATGTACATTACATTATAAATATAATGTAAGTACAGTTTACATTATAAATACTGCAATATTCAAAGCTTTATGTCTGAGAGTCTGGATACTGATGCCAACCCTCACAAAACACTCCTCATAGACATAATGTGTTTCAAAGTTTTGTATAAACACATTCAATTTAAGTATTGAAAGGAATTCATAAACAATTCTCATATACTGTAAACATCAAATAGTGTAGTCTATGGACTACAGTATGATTATGATTATGATATAACAATTGTGATATTTATAAAGTACAGTACAGTAGTATAAAATAAGATTATTTATTTGATTACATTTTTAGGTACAATTTACAATTGTTTATAAATCAATATAAGTTATGTATAATAATTAGCGCAAAACATGCAGTAATTGTAATACAGGTATAAAAGCTAGTGTTGAATGCGAGCGACGATTAGAGGGATTTCAATATCAGAGGGTTTAAGTACTGGAGTTAAAAGTGTATCAATATATCAGTGAATAATGGTTTGACACAAAAGTATTCAATAATTACACGAATAGTGTATGAACTGTGTTTACATTTCATGTGAATTGTACACACATTTGGTTATATTTAGTAAAAGTTTCTAAAATAATGTATAAATTATTGATATCTATTGGATTCCAATGAAAATAAATATTAAGAATAGTTTTATTTGAATTCTTAAGCACTTTTACGAATGCCATTATGTTTGTCAAACTAATTGATCACTTTTGGTGACTGCAATATTGGGTGACTTTGGATCAGATCCTGAAGAACTGTTTTCTTATATTTTTCAAAACCTAAAAGTCTAATGTATTGTATTTTCTTGAGTTTTGCCAATGAGTTCAACACACTATCGGTGATCACTAAACTGTTCAGAGAAAAGGACTGAAGTCGCGGTAAATGTATGTCAATATCAGTGGCAAACTCTTGATTGCAATTCATTTGGTTGAAGCGGTCGAGACCGCCGGTAATAAATGTCAAATGTGTTAACCCATGGCATTGGTTCAGCGATTCACTCGTGAGTTCATGTTTCCTCGTCTTGTTTATAATGATTACCAATCGTTTCAAGTGATTAAAGTCGGCGTTAATTGTTTGCACTAATCGTGTGAACCATTCGCACGAATCCTCGAAATGTATGACAAGTTTCCTAAGTTTGCGACAATTAGTACCGATTCGTGTCAACCGATTGGCGATTGCCGTCATTAACATCGCCTTAACTTTTGCAACACATTTAATCTTCAGATCAATCAATGCCTGCATTTGTGACAAACCAGTCATCAGTATATCAACGGACCACTCGTCGCAACTGACATCGATGTCCACATCAATTGCTTTCATAGTCTTTGCATAGCTTTTGACAAATACTTGCCAACTATTCGCGTCTCAATTCTTGTATTTAAACCGAAAATATTGTAACTTTGGAAACAAAACCTCATTTCTATCGCCACTTAATACGTACGGCAAGTGATTGCGCCAAAGCAATGGATCCAAATAAATGTGCCTTAAATTGAGGCAATACTTCATGCGTTTAGTGATCAAGTATTGCGTTTCGGTCAGCGATTCAAATGTTGTCAACTGTTTGGCAAACTTAACGACAAACTTGTTGACAGTATGCCGGTCCAAGTGGTTGGTGTGGTAGACGTGAATAGCCGTCAAACGGACGCAGTGTCTCATAATTGACACCAACTTTGCACTACTAAACGGGTATTGAATGTAATGTTCGCACACTTTCTCACTATTGTGTCAAAGTTTTTGTCACTTATTAGTCGCAAGTTTTGATCGGATATGAGCTCCCATTGGGTCTTATATACGACTCGTTGCCACTGTTTGGACACACATTCGCATCGGAACCGGTCATCGAGTGTGAGGTAAGACAATAGCACTTCGCATAAGTCATCACCGAATCGGTCCAAAGAATCTTTGCGATAGACTTTCCGAGCATTCATTCAATATATTTGATTAAAACATCAATTAATATAAATTCTAAATGAATATTACATTTTGTGAATTTGTAACTTAACTATAAGTTGGTTTCAAATAAAATTGAATTTATAGTTTACATTTGAATGGGCAATTCTCAATGACATGGCTAATCATTTATGCAACTTCTATTAACCCATTTCACAATTGCTTGCAATAAGCTTTTAAAACGCTTACGTTATGTGTTAAACAATGAATACGCAAATACACAAAACCTGTGCGATTGTCGTGTAGAGTGCAATGACTATGAAAATTAGTTTTATTTCTGGAAATTTCTATTCATTTCGGTATAAATTTCTAATATTTTAATTGCTTTCAAAACATTCATTCATTCAGATCTAAACCAATGCGTGAACACAACTATAACTGATGTCAAGAGTAATGTAATTTTTATTGCTTTTAATAATATTCACATACTGGTACTAAACTGTAAGTGTTCATTAAATTCTGCTAGTGTATATTATATAAATTGTATTATACTTATAAGATTGAAATAAATGCTTAAAGTAATAATGATTATTCATTAAGTTAATGCAATATTTTAATTATTAATGAAACCATTATTGAAATACAGTTTAGAATTGAAACAAAAAGTTATGAAATATTTGCCAAAAGTTACGTAAATTGCTGTAAAAACTTATAAACAAATAATGTGTTTACTGTTAAGTTCAATCATTATGAGTTTGTAAATTTATATTTAAAATTATCGCAAATATTTGCCTGATCAATTACTTAATTAATGTTTCAATTTGACCCTCTCATCCATTTCCTGTCGCTCTCGCACTAAACCTTTAAAACATCTTTTTTATCACTTTTCCCGAAATCCAAAAGCAGTACAATATATGATTCAGTGATCATTTCAATTGCAAATAGATTTTGTTTTTAATTTTATATTATTGTTAAATTTAACATTACTTTAACACATATTATATAACAATATAATAGCGCTCAGAGACTTGACATTCAATACAAACACATGTTTTGCTGTCATTTCGTTTGTATTGTGTTTTGCTTTCACAGAGCAGTCAAACAAACAGTGAAAGCATTAGTAGAGGAGATAATAACCGCTGAGGAATGGCTCACAGAAGGGAATCCATGCAAAGGCAAGTCTACGGCAAACACTC